CTGTGCACGGCTTGACTGCCAAGCTTTCTCAAGGTCTCAACTTGCTGGACGCGGATATTAGGGATATACTTTATTAAAACGGGCTAACAACAGCAACAATGAAATTCTCAATCGTACCACGAAGAAGGCTATGTAGCTCAGAAAACAACGTCAGTAGGACCTGATATTAAAAATAAGACTTTTGCCGGCGAAGCCAGTTGGCAGGACATCTTGGCTGTCAACAATACATCTTGGCTGTCAACAATACAACAATACATCAATACATCAATAAGACTGTCGAATACATGACTTAGTTTGGCTGTTCTTTCGGCATCGTGTGTCCAAAATTCGTCCAAGATTTTGATAAAGCCCTTTCAAAATACTGTTTGTTTGATTTATTTTCTGCCATAAATCATAAAAGAAAAAGATATTCGAAGAAATCGATAATGGAATTTGTACGTGCGTTTGACCTTTATTATCGCCTTGACCGAGCTATTTTTAAAACTGTTGTTTATGTAAACTTGCAACCAATCAAAATCCTTCATGATGCTGATCAACCAATCAGATTTCCCGTCCAGCAGATGGACGGGAATCCCACACTTTAGATAGGTTTTGTGTCAGGCCCTATTCTGTGATTAGGGCCTGAAGTTCAGGTTACCCGCTATCTGGAGACATTCATCTCGCTCCTGCATGATGACAATTGGAACAAATCTCCCGCATTCCTTGTATTTTACTGGCCGCCTGTCGGGTGTTCATTTTTGCTGATCTTTGAAAGGACAGCAAGCTTGGTCGCTTCAACCACTAGCAATAACTAATAAAACTAAAATACTATATAAAGTCATGTCACTAAGGCATGCATGTTGCACAGATAATCAAGAGTGCTCCAAATGTAGTTTTACGGACTGACGGTGGCCTCTCCTATTAAACAAAGCACATTCTAAGCTAATGAAAGGAGGGCTTGGAGGTCATCATGCAATGGGCTCAAGGTAATTCCGGAGGATGCAGGACAGATCTCATATTGTAACCTTTCTCATTTTATCCACAACACCTCGGCAGGTCTGAGGATAAGGATCAGTTAGGCAAGTTGATAAAGTTTATAGGCAGGATTCACAGGAAAAATTCACTGTCCCAAAAAACGTGAATGTTGTACGTACGCATGCGAAATAAATATAGTGTCGGATTAATAGCCGTACTACATTAGGATCCGGTGTTGGATGAATAACCACGGCGTATTAGAAAAGTAACAAATTATTATGAGTCAAATGACAATTATAATTTATGACCTACCTGACACTATAGTGATTGGACCTTTAATAGTTGTGAGATTCTGTCGTGTAAAGTTCTTCAACAGTGACCCAATCAACGTACTTTTACCCACTTTAGGAGGTCCTATCACAGCCACAACAATCGGTGGCGGTTCTAACGGCGTACGATCTACCAATGGGACATGATGTTTCTTCGTTTGAACGTCAAGTTTTCGTCGAATCTGACGAGCTGCTCGCACCGTCGATTGAAATGTGAAAGCCTTCGGATTCTTCTGATTACCATCTTCATTTTGGGCTTGTTTTCGCTTCTTCTTCTTCTCGGCTTTAGGCCCAGATTTGCGTTCGCGATGAGCCTTTGCTGTCCGCTCATCTTCACCTTCGGCCGCCATCTTTGATGCACCACGTGTGTTGGCAAATCCTAGGGGGGTGTAGTGGGGTGTTGATTCTTTTGGGTGCCAAAATAGAATAAATAAATACAATTCAAAATATGTTTTGCTAGATTTGAAAGAAACGTAGCAGAAGAACTTCAAATATCGTATTACATTAAAGTATAAAATCATAATTTGTATCAACTTTAATGAGCATATTTATGCTACTCTGGGGACTCTGGAAAAAAGATAGAAATCGCACTTTGCCAGGTTGCTAAGCTAGTTTTTGGAAAATTTTGATAGAACAACAAGTTGAATTTTGAAAGCACATTGCATGTGTACTAGATAGATGCCAAACCTAGCAATAAACTAGGTTTTTAAGATACTTGACAATCTAAAGCAGAATGGCTGGTGTTCTTTTTGAAGATATTTTTGATGTGAAAGACATAAATCCTGAAGGAAAGAAATTTGACCGAGGTATGACTTTTATATGTACCTGGTATTTGGTATAAATTGATTGAGCTGTATATATACTGGAGCAATATGTAGTGTGTGACATTTAATATACCTGAGACAGATCATATGTAATGACAAATTTATCTGCTGTACAGATCAACTATCTTTATAGTGTAAACACAGTATTCAGTGCCACAGTATGCAGTAACCGTTACTTTTTTGAGTAATTAACACTAACTAGTTACTTTTTTAGGAAGGTTAATACTTCCAGACTGCTAAGTTTGCTAACTGCACGCCAACGTTTTCGCTTCCGATAAAGGAATGTACCTTGGATGGTTTAGCAATCTGGGATAACAAAACTTACTAGTCACAAAAAATTAACTATTAAACTATTTACATTCTGGCCGCGCAGCATCACAGGTTCGGTTCTTGCCAGAGGTTGATAGTTGCATTTTTGCAACTATTACTGGTTCGGTCTAATTAATGTATAAAAATTCCACTTGAAATTTCCATCAACTATAAGTTATATCAAGTCCAAAATCCCTTTATTTATTATCGCACCTGTAGTGTCAAGACTCCACTGTGAAAGTGAAAGTTTCAAAATGGATCTCATTCTTGATGTAAACATTCAAGTATATCCTGTTGACCTTGGCGACAAGTTTCGTCTTGTGCTTGCATCGACACTACGGGAAGATGGTGCCCCTGACGAGGGGGAATATCAACCAATGGACAATATGCCATCCAGAGCTGACCAGTTTGAATACGTCATGTATGGTAAAACATATCGAATTGATGAAGAAGGCAGTTCTGTTGAAGCACCCACTAGATTGTAAGCACCTAGATGACTATTATTAACACTTTAAGTGGCAATGCGTCCAGATGCATTCTACTTTATTATTTTACTCTGTCTAACGCCAGACGATTTTATTCGTCAGGGGAGAGTGCTTGAATGCAATAGTTAATCAGACGCATAAATTTGTCCATCAGAATTATTGTAAAAAGAATAAAATGTGCTTGCTTACACAGCATTGAAAATTTTCAGATTCCTTTTGTCTAGTTTATTGCAGTTGTGACAAATTTGCTGTATAAGTTGACACCTGCCCCCCACCATTCTCAATGGATTTAAACATCTTGCAAAAGACAAAGGTGGTCCTAAAGGAGAGTGGGGCCTGTGGGGGACTTGTCCCACCCAGTTCCCCCACGGCTACACCACTGCCAAATGTATATGATTTAGAATTTCAAAGGTTGCACTACGTCATTTTTCTTATGAATTATTTTGTTTCTTCTTCATTAGATCTGCATATGTGTCATTTGGAGGTCTACTCATGCGGCTTCAAGGAGATGCAAACAATTTACATGGCATGGAAGTTGATCAATATATTTATCTACTTATGAAGAAACTAGCTTTCTAATGCAGACAATATTCAATATTCCAGCTAAAGAAAACAGTTGTTTGCAGGGATAAATACAAGCATTTTAGTCTACCGTTTTTTTTCGGAAGATTGCGTTTTAGAAGGAGAGCATTAACCACCTCCATGAAATAATATTCCCCACATTCAGACAGCAGTTTTGAACAAAATTATAACCATCTTAAAACAGGTTTTTAATGGTGTGTTAATCAGGGGCGCCGGAGCCACAGGGGCAGCTGCCCCTGTTGCCCAGACATTGCGGGGGCAGCACGGGGGCACCTCGAAATTTGTGCATTATTCACAGAAATTGGAATTTAGAACTATTTTTAAGCAATGTTTAAAGATGCGGTACAGTCAACAAAGGGTTTGTTTATATTTCGGTATCCAAAACATAGAATTTAATATTTATAAAACTACTTATATTTCCATAATTCTAGAGTATGATAAATTATCAAAACACAACAATCCAGCTTTGCAAGAACATAAAATGAAATAAAAACCTAAATAAACTGTTTGTATAATAAAAAGAGGGCTGAATCCTTGGGTCGGCAAACTTCGATATTAATTTTGAAAAATTTTATTCGTTGCACCATGCTAAAGGCGCATAATAAAGTCACTAAACGAACGTGTATTGCTTGATTTAGCATTAATTTTACTACAACTGGTTAAAAATTAAACAAAGATTGCTTAAAGATGCTGTACAGTCCAATCTGCGTATGTGCACAATAATAGACACAAGTAATCGACGAGTATCCATACAGTAAAGTTTTAACAAATATTGCTGCCCAGAAAAACGAAGTGCCCTTTTGAAATGGCTGCCCCCGCCGCTTCACATTGCGTCCGGCGCCCCTGGTGTTAATAATGAATCAGGGTTCATAGCAGTCTTTGAAATCCTTGAAAGTCTTCAAATTTGAATTTAGGTCTTTAAGGTCTTTGAACTGTGTGAAAAAGCGAAGAAAGTCTTTAAAATCTTTAGTGAGTACTTGATTATACGATTCCCTAGCGAATTAAATAGATTGATTGAAGCAAGATTTTCGCAAATATCGACGAAAAGGTGTATTTTAGGATGTGATTTGACGCGACTAATTACCGGGTAAAATGGTGCTAAAACACGCAATTTTTCGACAGCTGAGTGCTCTCAAGGTCTTTGAAGAGTCTTTGAGAATAGGCAGAAAAAATATTTGAAAGTCTTTGAATAGTTTCGGTCTTGGAGACTACGAACCCTGTGAATGTACAACGATCAAGATTCAAGTAGTTTCTTCCTTCATTTTAACAGTTAACTATTCCCATTTGCCACAATTTTTTCAAAGCATATTGTGAAAAATATAATTGTGGAAAAAGATTGAAGTTTGATTTTTGAGAAATGCTTGTATTAATCCCTGGTTTGTATGAAAGCATTTGTATAATAATTATACTGTCTGTTATTTACATCTTAGGGCGCATTGTAGCAGACATAAAAACGTTCTCTATGCTCACGTTAAATTTACGTGCTTGTCAAGAGAATTTGACAGATTCT